GTGCCATTCCATGACCGTGTATACATACGTCGTATCAGTGCATGTCTCCAGGCCAACCCAGGCCACCCCATATCGACGTTTGCGCCCACCACATCGCCAACATATTCCTCAGTACCAGTATGAGATATAATATATCGCAAAGATAGAGGCGATCCTACGGTCGGCTTACAAGAACTCCTCACAGCATGTTTACCATGCCTCCGTCCTCCTTTCACGCCGTCCCTCATTCCAACACTCGACGTGCTGTTGCCCGCAAGCGCATCATTCATGATGCCATCCCATCCCCGAGGATGGCATCATGAATGACTGCGAATCACCGCAGTAAGAGAGGCGCTCTATCCCGATCTCGAAAAACATCTGTGTCCATACAGGAGTCAGTCGTTCAAACCTTCAGGTGCGTATCTAGATGTCTGAAGTGCCAACCTCCCCAGAGCTGATTGCTGCGTGTCTTTTTTGGGTCTCGCGTGTTTTTGTGCTCTCTGTCGTTTTCTCGTTTTCTTACTCTTGTGGCCTACAGTGTACCACCTCCCTGTTTGAAACCTGAAACCGTCAGACGAAAGACGCCAAGAAAGGCTGGCGGTCGTGTACAAACGTATGTAGACCGGACATACGAACAGACGATTGGCGTTGGCGTTGTTGTGGAACAGAGATGCATTAGTCTAGACGTGTGGATAGGCGTGTCGGTGTCGCAAGAGCGTCATTAATACGTAGAAGACAGTGGAGTTGGCAGATCTCCTCTTGAACAAACCGAAACGCCTGCATATCTTGATTTTCCAAAGTTGTGAAATGAACTGATCTCGCAGCAAAAACATTTGAACGGCACACATCGCCCATTTTTTGGGCGCGTATTTCGCATGTAGTGTGAAGCTCGTCGTAACTAGGCGCACGCCATGGTGCAGCTTCTGGTGGGCGTGTTCTTTCTGATGACGCAACTCGCCCTGCTCTCTGAGGTCCACCTCTGGTCCATCGTTGGGAAGGGGGTTTTATCTCACAATATCCCACACCAGGCGAAACGAAAAAGAGGGGGAACACTAGTAGCCTGTTGGGATGAATCACTTAAACGTGGGGACGTTCAAGCAGAGCCATGCGCGTGAGCGGGAGACCCACGCACAGCTGGATAGTGAGACCAGACTTGAAGGCCCAGTACGGACACAATATTGTTGGTACAATAGTCTTGGTGGGTACCGACGGCGGACAACGAGGTGGCGGACGGATGCGAGTTCTAGGACCCTCGCGCGAATCGATCATACGCCAGGCGTACTCCGAGAGGTTTTCTGGACTCACTGGGCCCGTTTGACACGGACCTCATGGCGTCTACGGCGTCCGCACAGCGGGCACCCGGCGGAGAAGGGACGAGAGGGGGGCGTTGTTCCTCCAATTTCGACGGCACTGGGTCAGCTGGCGAAGAATTCTTCGCACCTGGCGTCTCAATAATGCCTGCTAGGGGGGGGGGCTCCCGTTTTCGGGTTTGATTCCCCCCTCCAGTGAAGGCGAGGCACATCGTACAGCGTCAAGCGGAATGCCGGGCGCGTGCCGTTGTCGTCTTCCCATGTGGTTCCCGTTGCTTCAGCAAGCAGCGGTACGATCCCCGATATTAGCTCAGCGGGCCCAGCCGGGCATCTTCCATTGACCCTTTGTTGATTTCATAGACTTCATTCAACACAGCAACACCCACGCCAGTATTAAAAGTAAGCCAGACAGCACGCGGGGCTTGTGAAATTTCGATCGTACCGTTGCCAATTACGTAGTAGGAGTCGCCTCTTCCCGGCTTTCTCCAGACAGCGCTCTGGTACAGCACTCTCTAATGCATGCAGCAGCCGGTTGAAAACCGTGTACGAGTACATTTCTCTCGCGACGCGCACTCTCCTTTCCTACCCTGCCCCGATATTTCGATATTTCATTAATGCGTTTCGTTTGCCGCAGTAGCGTAGTGACAATGCGCGATCGGTTCATTCGCCGGCCTGCCCTCGCGCCGACGTTCATTCAACTTGAAGCGATGAATTATCAATCCAAGCGTACAGGTGGGTGCGGCTAGGTCTTCGAGGGGAAAACGAAGAACTACTTGTCGCTTTATCATCCCATGTAGGCAAACAATTTCATTTTTTTGTGGCGGAAGACCACGCGTCTCCTCTCGACGGGCGAGCCACAAGTTGTCCACACCTACCTCCAAACAAAACACATCGAAATGGTCAATGTACGTAACACACGCCGCCAACGTCCTCCTGAATCACTGCTACTGGCTGAAGAAAGGCAACTTCCAGAGGGCGATAGGGGCGTTCTCTCAGCAACCAGGGTGCTGGGGTCTACAGTACACTCACTCCCAGCAAGAAACGAAAACGTGAAGCAATCAACGAAAATGCACAGGCTTGGACGATGTTTGCTGCTGTTCGCTACACATTTGTAGATCAAAGTGAGTGGACGCACTTGTGAGTCCCCTGATGTTGAATCGCAAAAGCATATCAATGTTGCCACGGTGATTTTCAGTCCACGGTACCGATTCCGTCTCGTCCGGCTGCGGGTCCTTGCTGTAAAGGGATCGTGCGATTTTGAGTGACTTCCGATGATATTTTTCTTGATCTTCGCCACCGTAAATCACCTGAGGGTACAGGTTCCATTCGTCCCATGTCTGGCGAAGAACCGTACGTTCTTTCTATAACTGTAGAGGCAATTCTCCGCATGACATATATGGGAGTGAAGCATGTACCCTGCGGCACATTGAAGCACATTACATTATCGTGGCGGAGATCCAGTAAATTTCGTCGGGAAGTCATTACATTCCCATCACATTGTCCCTTTCGGTCACAGAAGGAACTTGTAAACTGTGCTGGCATTCCGGGAGGCCAGCGCCTGGCCTGAGACTCGGCAACCGGTCTTGCTTCCACGTTCTGCCATTCCACGACCGTGTACACGTAGTATCAGTGCATATGTCCAGGCCAACCCGTATCGACGTTTGCAGCCACCACATCGCCAAAATCTTCCTCAGTACGACCTAAAGTCTGTCGCAGAGCTACAGTAGAGATGATCCTACGGTCGGCGTTTATGAATTCATTTCAGAGAATGTTTTGTAACCATGCATCCGTCCTCCTTTCACGCCGTCTCTCATGCCAATACTCCATGTGCGGTGGCCCGCAAGCTCATCGCCGAGGACACATGTGACCGCCGTGTCCTACCCCAGGAAAATTCGCCAAGAGACCGGGAACCATCGCGGCCGCAGAGACGAACCAACCCGGCTGTGCAAGTCGAGAGCCTCGCCGGTATCTTCGTCGGCCAGCTTTTCACTGGGCAGGGAAACGATTACGTACTGTAGGTGAGTTCAACCACAACACGATTGGTGGCTTTGTTGCGGAACTCACCTAGGCGGCTCCATTCCCAGTGAGAAGCCGGCCAACGGCAGCCTTGTCGAGGCTCTCAACGTAGACTGCCGTTGGTTGGACGTGGGGGCAAACGGTGGCAGGAACGGCAGTATCGCCTCGACACTGGTCTTGGGTATTGAAGGCGCGAAAAGCGGGCGGAACACAGTGTGAAGTTTCCTCCCATTGAGTTCATCCTGGTACGTATGCTTCGCATGCAATTCTTTTGTCCCATGCGTGGTCGGTTGTGCTAGTGTAGCCTTGTCCGACATGAGTTCATGTTGGCGCTGTTGCATTATTTGGCGTTTTTTCAGTTGAAGCCATGTTTGTCACTTGGTGCTTGACCCAGACGACCGAGGAGCCACAATAACTGGACTTGCCACCTAAAGTGCCGAATTCCCCTTGTCGTTCCAGCATCGCTACAAATAGGGTAGGAAAACCGCGAAAGTCGGAGGGAAAAAATGCGTGAACATCGCAGAAGACCATCGGTTTTTGGATACCTCCTTGCCGGCAAACCTACAAACGCCCCATCGAGCGAAGTGTTACTGTGTAACGGCAATGTTCTCATCGCGGAGCGTGCAAAATTGGCAAATGGTAGCTCTAAGAGGATACGAAGGTGTCCAAAATGGAGTGAATATCAGTTCTCATGGTTGTAGTGAAACCGAAGGATTTCTGTTTCGTCAACTTCGTCGGCGTTTCATTTTTCTGAGGACTATAGGGTTAGGGCCAGCACCGTTGTGCACCAACGATTTATCGCTCAGAACCGAACATGAACCGCAGAGGAGAACCAATCATGGTGCTGTAGCCAGCACTGGCCCCACGTCCGACCAACGGAAGTCCAAGTTGGAATCCCCGCTGATACCTTCGTTGTCTTGCTTCTCACTGGACACGGAATCAACTAGGTAAGTTCCGCAACAGCACAATGGTGGCTTTGTTGTAGAACTCATCTAGCTCGGCTCCCTGCCCAATGAGAAGCCGGCCGACGGACGTCTCGGTGCATGCTTGAACTTGAACTGCCGTTGGTCGAACGTAGGGTCAGGCGGCGGCAGGAACGGCAGCATCACCTCGACATTGGTCTGGGGTATCGAAGGCTCGAAAAGCGGGTGGAACACATTTGTGATATTTCCTCCCATTCGAGTTTATCCTGGTATGTATGCTTCGCATGCAATTCATTTGTCCCGTAAGTGTGGTCGTTTCTGCTTTTCTAGGCCATGTCCGATTTGAATTTTCATTGGCGCTGTTCCAATATTGCGCATTTTTCGAGTTGAAACCATGATATCTACAGTTGGTGCTTGACCCAGACGACCGAAAAACCACAGTAACTGCACTTCCCCCCAAAACGTATCATAGGAGAAGGTTTCCTCGTCACATATGAGTCGAGTGGCGACCACTTGTAGCGGTACTCGCATGTATCATGTTGTCGTTGAAGTCTTCTGTCGCCTTTTGTGATCCTTGACGGCGCAGTACCTGTGCATGTCCCCAGTACAACGAATAGCTATGTTTGAATCCACTATATCGCCAAATACTTCTTCCTATAAGCTAAACCCGATCGCAGAATGGGAGACAGTCCTACGGTCTGCTTAATCTCTCACGGCACGGTTAACATACACCCGTCCCCCCTTTTCTGCCAACTCGTGCCCCGCAACTTCATGTGTGGTTGCCCACAAATATCTACAGTACCGAAAGTGACATCCGGCCGCGTCCTACCGAAGAAAAATACGCACGAAGAATGCGAATCGTAGCTGCAGGAGGGGCCAAACTCTCCTCCCGTAGCCACCAAGGCTGAATGTGATGCACGTTTCGCCGTCTAACTATTGATGCTCATCCGTGACGCCGCAACGGACCAGGGCCCACAACTTAACTGCGAAGATCGACCCGCATCCAGCGTCGGAGAGTATTGGGGAGAGTGCTTGACGTCTCCTTCCGCGATGGTGCGCATTCATCGTTGTTACGGTGAGGTCGATTTCCTACATGCCGGCGGTGAGATTTCCGCTGGAGGGGTTCGGTGACGACCTCCAAAGAAACAGGCAAGAGATACATTCGTCGTCCCATAAGACGCCTCTCGGCGGAAAGACGGTGAATGCGCTCCCTTCTGTGCCGATTCCGCCGGTGGCAGTATTGGGAGGAGGGCGGGCCGGAGAATTGGGAGCATTGGTAAGAGAAGGATGATGGATGTCATTGCTGCTTTTGTTTGCCATGTGCTTTGAGCCTTTGCCGCGGTCCTAGTCCATGGTTTTTCGCCCGTTGGGGTGTAGAAATGTTGTTGTCGCACACACATCCTTCCGCCCCTTCATTACCCCACGACCGTCGAGGCAGGGGTGTTACCTGCCATGACACAAGACCACCGAGAATCCAAGGTGGAGCACCCGCCGAAGACCTCATCAGGCGGGTTCTCGCTTGGAAGGGAGCCGACGAGGTGAGTTCCGCAAACAACTTGAATACTTGTTGCGTTGATACACAAAACACAGC